GTAGCCGAAGATGAAGAAACCGATGCTGAAGACACCGATGCCGAAGATTCAGATGCAGAAATGTCTGCAGACCTAATGTCTGAAGATAATGCCAGCTCACTGAAGAAGAAGAAGTTAAAGGAACTGCTGCAAAACCAGCACCACAGACCCAGTTGCCCAGCCGGCTGTTTAAATAAACCTATTTTTTTAATTCAATTTTTAGTTTTAAGTATCACCATTTTTGGAACCTATTTTAATATTAAAAAAATTCAAACGTGTCTACAATTTCGGAGTCAAGGTTATCTTCACTTATGTTCGTATCTCAATAATGTTAATTTTTGCTTGCCGTCATGAATAATGTTAAATTTTAAATATTTGCCATGATCTTGTTTTAACTCATTTCATTGAGTTGTGGGTAATTGATAGATGTTATTTTTCATAGATTTACAGCCATATTTATAGATGTTAATAATGAATAAAACTTGAATCACCCGCGAATCGTTGTTTTATTAAAGAACTACGATTTGGGTTTTGACTTCCTCATATAAGACGTTGATTATTATTCAAAAATATACAAAATTTGTTAATTTAGTTCTGGTTCAAAATTTTGAAGTTTTGAATACGCCTACATATAAATGGGTAAATTACTTCGTTTTAACATACTTATATTGCTGTTATATTCTATTAAGAAATATTTTATATGTCTAAAGAATATTTATTACATATTTTAGAAGAAAAAATTAAAAATGTATAATTGAGAATTGTTAAACTTAGTTACGTTCTCCATTTTGCTGAAGATTATGGAATTTGAGTATTGAAAACACTTTTTTCTAACAAAATTTTCCGACTAATCAATACACTCAGATCAGAAATAAAAATACACCAATTTATTCTAGCCAAATATTATATTTTTTAAGACAAAATGCAACATGATTTCTTCAGTTCAATTTTTTTTTGTAACAATGTTAATAAATATCACAAATGATCATAAATTTTGTATAATTATAATTATAATCAATTACTATCACTTTTTGCTGGTTTTACTAATAATCTTATAAAGAAACGATTTTGAATGATTTTGAACTGACCTATAAAAGCAAAAGTAGTAATTAGAATTTGAAGAAATGCATATTAAATTTTGGTCCCCTTACATCGAAAATTATTTTTATAGTGTTCTTTAGTAATGTCTTATTTGTGTTTGAGTTGTGAGGTTGTGAGGACTATTTGATACTTGTAAGAATCAAATCTAATAAAGATGATAAAAAACGTTTCAAGGTACCTATTCTTTGTCGTGTATTACGGCACGGAAACGGATATTATATATAAAAAGTGACCAGAGCATAAGAGATTATTCACAGGCTATAAAAATTTCATTATCTTCCGTATATTGAAGCACTTCTAATAGTTTTTTGCATATTGTTTTACTTCGAGTTGCCCCATGATGCTTCCAGGTGTCAATATTTTTTACTCACGTGCGAGCACTTATTTCTATACTTCAATCATAATATATACATACATATTTCATTTGTTCTTTTATAATACTAGAACAACAACTCAATGTAGTCTTAAGATGACGTTTGTAAAATGTTTGTTATATTTACACTGATATATGAAAAAGAAATTAAGTAATACAAAGCAATCCAATTAAGTATTGGACGAGCTTAGTTAATATATCAGAAAGTATTATAACAATTTATTTTCCAAATTTTATTATATCAAATATTACATATTATATTCAGAAGAAGCATAGTGTACATATGAATGTAGATGTTAGCAAATTCGACTTGTTACTAAATTTTCTAGAGTTTGGGATTGTTTTGGGATAAAACTGTATATACAAAAGGTATTAATTCAAAATATCTTGATTTTATTTTAGAAAATATATTAATATATATTCAGCAGAAAAATATTTAAAAAAATATACTGAATGTCTTTTTCTGCTATCAACTCTTCAAGCATACTTGAATATTTTTTGGGTTAGAAGATCCATTCCATCCTCTGTGTTATATGATGCAATAAATGATATAACATTTTTAATACTTTTATAATAAAATTTGACTACAATTTGACCAGTTAATCAATATTTCATACTCACATAAAATTTGGGACACCAGCTGGCGGAGGAGCTATTGGAGGAGGATATCTGCACACAATGGTCACAACTTCGTCGCCTTCGATTTCCAAATTTGGATGAAAACGTACGACAATGTTGTTTGTGAAAACACGTTGCGGATCCTAAAAAAATAATATTAAAGTTAAAATTATTTCTTATGTATATTTAAAAAAATTCTCATCATCTTAAAGGAAAAGTAAAAATATAATTAAAATATTAAAATAAGGAATATTAAAACAATGTATAAGTATATTAGTATATGTATATGGATACGAGTAATAGAAATAATCGAATTTTCTACTCTACTTTATCTTTGGTTTGTTCCAATTAACTATCCCTAAACAATTTGCGTGAAATTGAATACCTTCGACCCCTTACTTTTATTTTACCTTTAATTACCATACCTTTTATTTTACTAATCAGTATATGGTACTTATGATAATGTGGTGCTTTGCTTTTAAACCGATTCTCATCGTTAAGTTTATTAACGTTCCGATCCCAAATTGCATCTTGATGTTTGTTTTTAGCGATTTAATTTATTTAGTTAGATACCATAAAAACGAAAGTATCAAAAACAACACAAAGTTAATATCTTTTTTGGCTATAAAGATAATTAATTGATAATGGTGTATCAAATTCGAAAAGTTTATTATACTTTTTATTATGTTTTTAAAATGGTTTTATAATCTGTTCACCATAAGAAAATATAAAGAATACTATATGTATCATACCATTACCTAATTTAAATCATCTAAAACTTTTACTTGAATCATACTAAATAAATTTCGTGGAATCAGAAATGTGTTCAATTTTTCTCATTTGTTGGAACCAATATTTATCAATATTCACATATTGTGTACATTTTCATTATAAATAATATAATTTGCATATTTATTTATATATTTAATATTATTATAAATAAGTCGATTTATTTATTTTATAAAATTTATTACAGAAATTTTTGGTTAGTCTAAAATAAATAATATATTTTTGTTAACAGAAGATAGCGTGATTATTCGTGATTGTATTATTATAAATTATAGGATAAACGATACTTTCACTAAAAATGACTAAGTATTCAAATAACATAAATTGAATATTGATGATTAAATAGGAACGTATTAAATACGAAAATAGTAACTAACTTTGACACTTGACTCCAAATGAAAAACCGAATATTTAGTTTTAACCAAAGAAGTTCTTCAAGCAAGAGAATCTATTATCTATAAAAGCGATATGTCATTTATTACAAAATAGACCAAGAATAGCACTCTCAGAACACCCATTCATATTTTTTCAAACAAAATCCCTTCTAAAATTGCCTAAAGATTTATCTGAACCATCTTCCATTTAGCCAGTCGACCCATTTTACTTTGTTGAAGTAAACCGTCTTCCATAATGACGATTCATTCCTATAAATCTTCTTCTCTGACAATGAAATAAAGATCTTATTTTGTCGAGCAAAAAAATCGCGTATATTTAGTCTCTGAGACGACAAAAGCGAACCGGATTTCCAAGAAAGGGTTTCACATAAGTATTTGCTAAGAATCAGCATGAGAAAATGATAGTGGAAACCGGTGTCGATGTGCTAAAAAGATAATAGACTAGCGAGGCTGTCAAGAGTCATCATTTTCAACCCGCTTTTTGTCAGAATCTGGTTTTAAGATCTTGATTTTGAGATCCTAGACTTTAAATCAAATCATATATTATATGGTGGACCATGAATTATTATAAAGGATTATAAATAAATTATAAAGTATTTGGGTAAAAACTATGTCATGGGGCAAACTAAGATTCCAGATTTATCGCTGTCATTTTTCATCCAGAAAATACTTCTTCCAATAAAAAATTTGCACTAATTTTGCTATATCAAATTTATCGAATAATGTTTTGTCACGGTGTTTTATGAGTAGTTGATCATATATATTGTACGTAGTCATAACATTTAGAAGAACATTTGATATTTGATCACAGATCATCGTTTTATTCATGAAATAAGACATCTCATCCTATTTTCCCCTACATTTTCAATTTCACTATACATTTCTCATTTGAACAAAATTCACTTTCATTCGATGTGCACACCTGATTTATTTCTATGGAAAGTGAACAACCTTAAGGCGGATAAGATTCGCAATCATTGATTGATCAATAAAAATAATTATGATCACTTGCACGTTGTATAATTATATTTTATGCTGGTACTTAAATAATTTAATTTTATCCAATCGATATATGATCCAATTAAATAATATGGCCGTAAAGTAATTTATAATTAATGCATCGGTATCAAGTATCAAGACTCATACTTTTTATGTTACAAGAATTGTATATTTAAATGTGCAATGCTAAATTTATATAATACCAGAGATTTTAAATTATTTGTTGCTTTATAGTTTATATTTTCACAAGGGGGCATCCATTAATCATGTGAGCGAGTAAAGATTTTTGGACCCCCTCGCCCTTGGTGATATTTGGTGATATTCAAAATTACCCTTCCTCCCCCACCGAACATCTCGTGTATTTTTAGTTACGTAATAAAACGGTATTTTTAAAAAAATTTTTTTGAAAATGTTTGAATTAAAAAAAAACATCATTTAAAAAATAAATACACGTGATATCTTACTATACTCCTCCCTCCCCCATGTGATATTTCGTGATTTTTTGTCTAATTAAATCGCCCAATTAAACAATTTATCTGTAAGTACAAAATAGTTTAAGTATAGGGGCACAAAGGTTCAATTGATTATGAGCGATTTGAGCGAGCGTATTATGAAAACCAAACCATTTATATCACACATATAAAAAAACAACTATTTGACTTTGTTTAGTTAAACGTCCAGCAAATTCATCATTGTAAAAATGTGTTTTTTTAATGCTGTGTTTTTGAAATTTGTCACCTGGTCCTTTTTACACCATAGGGAGGCTAAAAAGAGGCGGTCTAGAAGCAAATAGGTACAATGTCTTTAAATTAATTTTGAAGAGATTTTACGAAGTAATCACCAATGCAAAATATAAAATTCGAGGGCACATCTTTTACAGAGTTAACACTGTATATAACACCTTGATTTGGTATTTTGCTAGAAATATTCATCAGTAAAGTTGGAATAGTAACTTCAACAATTCAATTCAATTCAATTCAGTTCAATTCATACTTTGTAAAATTACTTTTTTAGTTTAATTTACTTTTCTATTTACTATTTTTTATTGTTCACACCTTAGCCATTGTAAAGGTTCAAGTGATTCTTTTCACCTCAACCACGTTTAAGCTTTTATAGAGGCTGAAAAAAATGGTGAATCTAACTTAAAATTAACAATTCACCTTATAAAACAGTAAATTAGCAAATACTTAAAAATTATATTAAGGCTTCGTAAACTAAACGACAGTGCTCACAACCAAAAAACTAACAACGAAAGAAAATACTTGTGATATGGGTTTTTAAACATTGCCGTTTGTTGCATCTCATTAATTTGGTTGATGTGAAATTGGAAAAATAATATTAATAAAATAATTATATATTGGCAAGCTTTAATAATTACATTGAGACAATGCAAACAACTTCTTCTATTACAAAACTTATTGTTGATTTTTTACATTACAATAAAAGACATTACGGCACAGACATGGTCATCAAATGTTTTTCAAATGTTATTTAATAGCTCATAAAATCAAATGAATCTTTAAGTCTTAATTACGATGTCATTAGTACTCACTTGTCTGGTACCGCATCCTTTCAGAGGCAATTCGAGTTTGTAACTCAAATCACCATTTCCAGCCACAGTGCAGGCAGAATTCCTATCAAAGTCTGCATAAGCTATTCCGAAAAATGGCTCGTTGAACTTCAATTCGATCTGAAATAATATAATTTTCTTCTTTAGTAACAATATTTTGTTGTTTCAATGATATATTTATTTCATATGCATAGATATGGTTATTGGTATTTAAATCTGGTATTTTTGATGTAGATGCATCTTGCCGCGAAGAATAATATTCAACTTCAGACGCTTGGTTTAAATTTAGAAGAGCTTTTTTGTTTTATGCTGGTTTTTTTTTTAATTTCGCTATATGAATTTTAATCATAACTGAAAAATGATTGTTGTAATTAAAGTTTCATAAAAGAAGAGCCTTATGTCCTATAAGATGCTGAGCTGAATCTTCTTCTTAGGTCGTCTTTTTATATGGTAACGTAATGGTTGATTCATTGGATTATTTTATTATTAGAATTCATCTAAATAAGAGGACTCATTATTATATTTTATGAATGAGCCTCAGGAGAGCTATTTTCACTTGGAAGCATATTAAAGATCTATATTTCAAAGTAAAAATTGATATCATTACTTTTATAAAATTAACATAAAATTACCATAAAAAGCGTGGTTAATCTAATTACCAAGAAGAATTGGAATATATAACACTAGTCATATCAGGATTAGTAATAATGTGGTAAATAATTAATAAATCAAAGTATTTATGATTGATTCAAAGAATATTTAAATATCTAAAATTAAATTGATATAAATGTAAATATTTTTGACCACAGAAATAAGATAATTGGACTTGTTCAATGAAAACATAAATCAATGTTTGCATATTGTACATAGAGCAGACATAAAATACACAGAAAATACTCTACGTAGTCTAGACATAGTAAGTGGACACAGAAAAATTAATTATTAATTTTTATGAAATGTAATAACATTTGTCTATATTTTATGAAAAATAAAATTTGATTTATACAGATATGACAGGAATTGTTTGAGGAAAGTTTAGTTTCATTTAGTGATTTATCTAAATCTACGATTTTTTATGTCGTTAGCTATCCCATTAGTTTGTGAAATATATTAATACTCCTGGACACATGCATCATTCTTAAACATCTAAATTCCATATTGTAATAATGTATTGTCATTCTCTTCCTTTGAATATTGATAGGGCAATTGACTTCTAATTTACTAGAAAAAGATTATTATTCGAGAAAAGAATTTGTGCAAATCATCAAATTGTTTTCAGTAAGTGTATTTCGTAAATCTCGATTCTCATTGATCAGGTCGATTCTTTACATAGCACAGGAAGTTCATGCAACTTTCCTTAGCCATGCCATTTACACCCAGTAAATAATTAACTTCAAACAATTGCAAACGAATATGCCAGTGTGCGATTGTGAATCAATAAATCTCAATAAAAAATTGATGAAATCAATTTCCAGTTTCTCCAATTTAATCCATTGTTCGACTGTGAAGATTCAATTTTATCAACGTAGAAATCTGAATACAAATTAGCGATGTACTGAAATCGTGAGTGATAATAATCATCGCATTCCAATAGTTATGAAATCAATGCTTTATTCCATTAGGAAATTAAAAAACTACTAAGGCGAGTTTCTAATGATTGCATCACATTCATAACACGGAGCAATACAATGCGTGTCAAGATTCTGAGGCGGAAATCTCGAGATTAAAAAACTTGATGTTCTAGATTTGTTATTTAGTTGTATAAAGGTGTGTATTAGAGGGACCGCCAACGACGGAATTTGATATATTCACAATATTGGCCGGAAATTATATTCACCTCACTCATCTTCAATTTGCATTGATCTTATTTTAATATATATCCAATTTTTGTTATGTAATGCTTAGTATCCAAGTTTGCAAATAAAGTAAAACTTAGTGAAAAAATGGTCGAAAATTTTTGACAAAATTAATCTAATTGGGTTCAGTGCTAAAATAGCATTTTACAGCGTTGCAACAATAAGTTAAAAGGTTTTCAAACAGAGCTTTTGTTATTTTTTTTTTCGTATTTGAAACAGAGATTTTATTTTATTCGTACATAAGAATTTAATGTCCTAGATGAGAATAAAAAACAAAAAAAGAATGAATTATTCTTTCAAATTGAACATGTTAGATATAAATGAAGTTACTCAATTTCAAGTTTTAGAAAGAAGAATAAAAAATATATTCATCAGCAAATATAATTAATAATTATAATATATGTTTTTTTATTTTTATTAAAATCATGAATTTTAAACTACCTTTATCAGCAATCGTTTGAAATAAAGGAAACTTAAAATAACAAAAGACTTATGTATAACTTTAGTCATACAACAAATGAAAAATATATTAATATGCTGCAAAAATTAAGTTTGAATATTGTGTATCCACATTTTTACTGCTTCTGAAGCAATAACACAAGTGTTACATCATATTTTGTTCCAGGAAATATAATTCCTCATCGACGATTGGTTACTTTTTACTTCCGCAGCAATATATGAACTGTTATTAAAGTTCAGAGTTGATATATTCATTTTATGGATAAATATATAAATTCAATCAAATCAAAACTTTATGAAGATCCTTACAATTTTCTGATGAGTTAGTTTTATATGGCAGCGTTTGATTAAAATATTGATTTGTTTCCTAATTGAATCTCAATAAACTAACTATATCTATTAAATGTATGCAATTACACATGACTGGACATAATAAATGTCATTCGAAAATTCATTAATTAATAAATTCAATAAAATGTAATTATTAAATAAATGAGCTTGCCTTTAGGTAAGTGGCTAAAAAGACTGGTCTTAATCAGAGCAACCTGTTATCAAGCAGAAGTGACAATAATTTTTGCTTGAAAATATGGAAAGCACTATGTTACCAATTGAAAATAGTAAGGTTAGCACAGAAAGGGGACAACTGTTTTGGTTGCCATCTGTAGAACTAACTAGTTTTAAGAATTAGTACAACAGCTTATAGGACTCTTAATAATAATTAAAAAAAAAAAATTAGATAATTACCTGCATAGATCCAGCTCCGCAATATAAAGCCGCTTTTGTTCGATTCAGGAAGATTATGGGACTCAAATCGTCTAGTTTCGTCACCTGAAACAATAATAAATATTAATAGATTAATTTGAATTTAATAGAATTAGACAAAAAAATAGTAGCACTACAAATACATTATAAAAATTATCATATTTATTCAATCATATATTATACAATTATATGCAATATTAACTTGTGTAGACAGTATTATACGAATTACAAGAATATTATAAGAATTTTTGAAAATAATTGTAAGCTAAAAAGAAACTTGCCTTAACTCAGGAACTAACTTATTTACTAACTAAACTACGTACTTAGCATTTTTCAAAAAATAGATCGTATAAATACATGTGTATATGTGCATATGCATATATCATAGATCTTTCACACACACAGACACACACACATATATATATATATATATATATATATATATATCTACATATATATAGAAATAAGTCGGGTTTTTCCTTCCTGACGAAATAACTCCAGAACGCACGAACCGATTTCGACAATTTTGCATTCGTTGGAAAAGTCTCGGGCTCTGCAAGGTTTATAGCTAAAAAAAAAGTGCTGCATGGCATCGTGCCTTAATGCAAATTGCTGAAACTTCACGCACCGTAATTAAAAATTCGAGTAATGACATTAGTGAGAATTATCAGTATTATGCTTGGTTAAGTCAAAGAGCATTTCTTGCCGCAAACAATAATGATGTACACGCACTGAATTTCACCATTCAATCAAAAATTGCTGGCGATTTGGTGACATATCAATGATTCCGACTGGTCTTCCGTTTGCTTCAAACGATTGCAATTTCCAATTCGTCTTCCTAGTTCCAGTTCAAATATAAAACCAACGAAAAATTTCTTTATCTTTTCACGAAACTATCTGGTGGCGAAACGGAGTTTGTCGGGTTTGCTAGTATATATATATATATATATATATATATATGTTAAAATTTATTATCTATCCAGATTTATCACCTATTGATTAATTTATATAATATAATGATTAAAAATATAATTAATACATTACTACAATTATATCTATTTATGTTTTACATGTTACCTAATAATTTATTACCACTATCCAGAATTATTTTATCAATTCATTTATTATTTTGCTAAATCTTCAACCTTATATACTAACTTTTGCTTTTGAAGAAATCAACTTTTGCATACACATTTTTATTGGAGATGAAAACTTGTAAAAAGAAATTGTACCAAACGAAAATTTTAATCGACTTCAAAAACTTTTGTTAAACATTTGAGTGCCAGTTTCTTCAATTTATTTCAATATTTTACTATATCTAATATACATTTTACTATATTTGAACAATAGTAAATAATCTACATTTAAAACTCTATATGTACATATTCTTATACACTTATATTTGAGGCGATTAAAATTTGAATGTCCTGTTATTGTTCATTTTAAATTTAGCGCTAATTCATAACATTGCGTATTTCATTTCAGTTTTTTTAATTGCAAAAATGTGAGACAGAGAGTGCTGATTACCTGGACGCCACGGAAAGGACCTGTCAATCATAATTGCGTAGTGCCTATAAAATATAGTCAAATAACTAGTGATTTCGATAAAATAAGTAGTGGTTTAGTGATTTTTGAAACTATCAGTGATTGTAATCAGTTTACCGGTGTATTTTGTGGACTATTCGTTAGTGATGGACATTTTTACATAAATAGTGATTGTGTGAAGGTGTTGGAAAGGACGCCGCTTAATTAAGGTAAGATCTTTTTACATCATCTACCTCATCTGTCAATATATATTTGCTGGATATTTGTTGTATTGTATATTGGAAGGCACTTAGTTTATCAAAAATTTGTAATTGCAATTAATTAGTTTAAATCTTACTTTGAACACATCATTGGCTATATTATTTTCGATAGCAGTTCGTGTTGTCTGTACCTTTCTTTGGCGACTTAAGTAAAGTTCGATTGCCAAGTATTGTATGACAGTTTGCTCATCTTAACTTAGATTTATGTGCTATATATGTTATGGTAAATGTGCACTCTTGGTGAATGTGCACATTCCCCAAACTCTAATGTGGAAACAATCAAATTAGAAGAATGGCGTACGTGCGTACTTGGAGCGGTCTCATGAACATCTTGCGTATTTGGCGCATGCAAACTAAATAGTTAATCAGTTAATAGTTAATAGTAAATAGTTGAATAGTAAAGTGGTAATATAGTGTATAGTGAATTATTAATATTAAATAGTAAATAGTGAATAGTAATAACTAAATAATTAAATAGTGAATAGTAATAACTAAATAATTATATAGTAAATAGTTAATAGTAAATAGTGAATAGTTAATAGTAAATAGTGAATAGTAAATGGTAAATGGTTGAATAGTGAAATAGTGATAACTGAATAGTTAATAGTAAATAGTGAATAGTAATTGGTAAATAGTGAATTAAGAATAGTTAAATGGGTAATAGTTAATGATTAAATAGTTAAATAGGTAATAGTTAATGATTAAATAGTTAATAGTTATTAATTAAACAGTTAATAGTTCATAGTTAATAGTATATAGATAAATTGTTAGTGATAAATAGTTAATAGTTAATAGTGAATAATAAATAATGGATATTAATATGCATATGACTAAAATAAATAATATAAATATAAATATATAAATTAGTATTTCAGTAGTGAGTTGAACTCACATTCGCCAATTGAACCGGTAAATGTGCACAATCACCGGTGAGAGTGCACATTCGCCGAAATATGCACATTTACCGTAACATATATATGCATAACATAATGATCGGAAGAAATTAACATTACGATCTTTTGATCATATCTACTCAAATAATTAATAGCGTACTACCCAATTTGGGGCATTACTGTATCAAAATGATTTACTTTTCAAACATCCATCAAAAACCATATTAAAACAGTAATTGGCGCTTATTATTCCAACATGAAATTCATATATATATTAACACTTTTGCAGACGTGAATGTTATAGAAATCATTTTTATTGTAATTCAGAATGTTATGAATGCTGTAGCATTCAAATTTCATTTGCTTTGAATTTAATTTTATATAACCTTACGTTTTTTCAATTCGTCAAGTAATGCCTAACTGATTCTTCAGACATTTTCGTATTATCTTATCTTTTTCCGTAGTCACTAATTAGCTTAGTCAAGCACATTGCGTAACATAGAAGCGTAATACTTGACGTGGATGCTATAGCATTCATAGTAAAATATATATATTTTTTATAATTTTTGAACAGCAATCAGAAGCTAATAGTTCTATAAAGTGCTGTGCTAATTTTGACTTAATACTAGTCTGTTTGACAGATGGCAACCCAATCAGTTGTCACATGTCGATATGATATATTATTATTACAATTTCTGTAATAGGGCGAGTATTTTTAATGGTGCGGCAATGCCGGGTGAGGGCTATTTTCACTTGGAAACATATTGCTATCTATCTATATTTCCGGGACCTCTGATTCAGGTCCCATCGCTCTTAACCGCTTACTTACGGGCAAGCCAAATTGTATAATATAACGATAAAAATATGATAATCCGACTACCCTTATGAACTGTGTTTAATCAAATTTTGTGTATCACAACCAATTAAAAATAAAATTACTGTCAATTTTTGTACCTTGCTAAAACTTTTACTGTCCGAAAACTTGTAAATGTTACGAATAAAAATTTGTGATAATTTTATCAAATTAAATGTAGCATTAGTTTTTTTATCGATTATTGGACAACAATTTTTAACTATAAGATACATATCTCGTATTATCATAATAAATCCTACGAAAGAGTTGAATTATTGGAAATTCTACTGCGATAATATTATTATCTTTCGACTGATTCCTGTTCTTCCGAGTCATATATCAGATGTAGGTCAAACGCTGCCGATTTTTTATTCATATGCATTTAAAATTCATAATGCAAAATCGTTCAAAGTATTATCTTGACATATGGTCTCAAAGCCATTAGAATTTAACATGTGATTCTACCAAAGTTAATCTTTCTTATTCATCGACGGTGTTTTAAATCATGTTCTTTGTGACATTTTAATTTCTTTATTGGACGTAACCCAGTGTTGAAAAAAGGATTTAGGCTGCATGTTCATGATCGCAAAGAATCAAAATTTTTAGATATAAACATTACCTTCGACTTTGCTTTCTTGAATGTGATTGAATTAGGATACGTATATATTTGTGTAATTCAGTTGCTGATATACATATAAATATATAAAATTATAGATACAATTAAAGACACAATTGGATTTTATTCGAAGGAGTAATTATGAGAACTTTAGTAGTATAAATGTGTAATATGCACAATTACAACTGTTTTAAAAAAAATATTGCGATTTTTTCAATATATGTCTATCAGTAAACACATAAAATTGTTAAATTGTTTGAATCATTATCTGAGTATATTCCAATTATCGACATAAATTTAAATATGAACTTATTCTATAATAATGTTAAATATTATAGACAAAATTCAAGCATAAAGATCGAAACACTTATGTTGATTGTAATAAGAGAATATTATAAAATTCTATTATATTACAATTACAATTGTGAAAAGTGACTGGAAAGTAAAATTCTGTTTGACTTGGCATAAAAAACCTTATGTTTTTATAATTAGTAATTGACTTAATATATAAACTAAACTAATATATCAAGACGGTTTGTTCTGCATTACTTGTTTTCTTCCGCAAATCCATTTATTGCAAATCTATATCGTTCAAGGCAAAAGTAGCTTTTAGTTTTTTTTATATCATAACAATCTAGATATTTAATTACCTGCGTAGTTTTTTTTTAAATCACGTCTTTGTTAATAATGACATGTTTTTTTTGGTTCATGGTAACAAGTCCTTAGCAAAGCAACTTGTCAAACACAATGAACGGTGCCCATATGTGCATTTGTCAAAGGAATCCATTAACGAAATAATCTTGTTGTATTTATGTTATTATTTTCGAATCAATTTGATTGTAGTTTCTTTTTAAGGTCGGCCGATAAAACAGGTATAACATGGTGTTGACCTTTAAATA